GAACCCTGAGAAGGACCCTGACCCCAAATCCCAAAAGCAGCTCAAAACTGGTGAGGAAGTGGAAGGGAATGGCATGCAGACATTTACTGCTTTATTTCAATCTATACACTTCATGTATGGTCTAAAGCAATGGTTTTCAACATTTTTTTCCATTTGTGGACCCCTAACAAATTTTGAATGGAGGGGCAGACCCATCTGAATTGTAAGTGTGGGTATTCACATATATTTGATTGGTCATAGTCACCTTTTGCAGACCCCTTGTACATAGTCTGTGGATCCCCAGGGGTACGTGGACCACAAGTTTAAAACCACTGGTCTAAAGTAAAGAGGAACTGCTTCTGGAAATCCTTCTGAAAAGTTCCCATCCATTTGATTCAACTATCATGTGTTCTTAACAGTTTAACCAATGAAACCAAAGTGCCTACAAGGTGGAGGTCTGGGACAGTGTGCCTAGACTACTGGGGAGTCTTGGTGGGGAGGGGGAGTTGGTCAATGTGCTTCCTAGAGACACAGGTAGCTGGGCTGTAGGGTTCCACTTTCATGAAGATTTAACAGATAGACAGATACTGTAATGTTCAGGAAGGGTACTTCAGATGCCAGATCCAGAAATGGTGGCTAATGCCACTTCTGACCAAAGGGTAAGTTCAAAAGCACTCCCAAGAGTGCAGGTACAAACAGAGCATTGTGGGTAGTGTCTGGGAGTCAGGGAGGAGCCTTCACCAGGAATGCGACAATTAAGCATCAATTTGTATTTACAACAGAACCACAAAGAAAATAAAATCTTCATTTTACAATTTGGTCTCCATATTAGTGCAAGTACTTCAGAGGGCAACTGAAATGTTCCACGCAGTTTTACAAAGTTATTTATTCACTCACAGAGGAAATGTTTAAAAAGTTCCTTTTTTTTTTTTTTTTTTTTTTTTTTTTTTTTTTTTTTTATTACAGACAGAGCTTAGCTTGTATTTTGCCATGGCATTCAAATTTCAAAGGATTCCAATAAAAGTCATCAACCCATCCCTTCCTCCTGGCAACAGACTCCAGATTTAAGGTATATACGCGAGTACACAAAACACACACTCACTTTAAAGAACAAGGCATTTTTCAAAATGTTATGCTCTTTGCCAAGAAAAAAAAACCTGACAGGACTGCACAGATCCATCAGCTGCTTCATTTCAGCAACATCACAGCTGCCTGTACCAGAAAGCCACAGGGGCCAAGTCTTTGGAAACTTGACCTTGTAAATCTTACCAATGCCTTTCCTTCCCTCCCCCTGCCCTATACACTTGACTTATTTCATAGTAGTATTCAGGATCCACAAAAAAGGAAGCCATAATTAGGAACATTTAAAAACTCAACTCATCAGTGCCTCCCTTGGATAAGCATAGAGGGAAGAGGGAAACCCCAGGGAGACTGAACTGAGCAACATTTGGGATCAAGACTCCCTATCTTAGCATTACCTCCCTGGAGAAGTTGCCAGGAGGATTGCTATGAAGAAGGGAAGGTGCACAGAGGGTGGCAGCAGGCTGAAGTGGAGAAAGGATTGACTCATTGAGGACAGGTCCCCAAGGCCTACTGCTTCATCTAACAATTTGCTTCAGTGAGCATTCCAGTTCTCTAGTGCCATAAGTTCCCCTCTGCATGCTCCTCTAGGTGCCATACCAAAGTGAAATTAGAATCTTAGGAAGTTAGGGTTGGAAGGACCCTCAGGGAGATCATCGAATCCAACCCCCTGTTCAAAGTAGGACCATCTCCAACTAGATCATCCCAGCCAAAGGTTTGTCTAGCCAGGTTTTAAAAAACCCCAAGGATGGAGCTTCCATCACCTGCCTGGGTAACCTGTTCCAGTGTTTTACTACCCTCCTAGTGAGAAAATTCTTCCTAATATCTAACCTAAACTTCCCTTACTGCAACTTGAGACAATTGCTCCTTGTTCTGTCATCTGCCACCACCAAGAACAGTCTAGCTCCATCTTCTTTCAAATGCTCCTTCAGGTAGTTGGAGACTGCTATTAAGTCTCCTCTCACTCTCCTCTTCTCTACACTAAATAAACCCAGTTCCCCCAGTCTTTCCTCATAAGTTATGTCCCCCAGTCCCCTCACCTTTTTTGTCCCCCTCTGCTGGACTCTCTCCACACATCCTTTTTGTAGTGGGGGGCCCAAAAACTGAACACAGTACTGCAGATGTGGTCTCACCCATGCTGAATAGGGGGAAATAATTATTTCCCTTGACCTACTGGCAACACACCTACCAACGCAGCCCAGTATGCTGTTAATCTTCTTGGCAACTAGGGCACACTGCAGGCTCATATTCAGCTTATTGTCCACTGTAACGCCCAGGTCCTTTTCTGCACAGCTGCTGCCCAGTCAGGCAACCCCCAGCCTGTACCGGTGCATGGGATTATTCCCTCCTAAGTGCAGGACTTTGCACTTGTCCTTGTTGAACCTCATGAGATTCCTTTTGGCCTAATCCTTCATAGTAGCTAGGGTCAGGAGGGACCTGAACAGATCATCTAGCCTGACCCCCTGCCACAGGCAGGAATGAATGCTGGGTTCACAAGACCCCAGACAGGTGATCATCCAACCTCCTCTTGAATTTGCCCAAGGTAGGGGCGAGGACCACTTCCCTGGGAAGTTGGTTCCAGATTTTGGCCACCCCACCTGTAAAATATTGCCTTCTGATCTCTAACCTAAACCTATTCTCCATCAGCTTATGACCATTGTTCCTCGTCACCCCAGGTGGTGCTGGGGAGAAGAGGGCTCTATCTATTTGCTGTTGATCTCCCCTGATGAGTTTGTAGGCAGCCACCAGGTCCCCCCTCAGCCTCCTCTTGCTGAGGCTGAACAGCTTCGGGTCCCTCAGTCTCTCCTCGTAGGGCCTATCCTGCTGTCCTCTCACCAAGCGGTTGTCTCTAATCTGAACCCTCTCCAGGCTGGCCACATCCCATTTGAAGTGCGGCTCCTTCAATTTGTTATGTCACTCTGAATCTTAGCCCTACCCTCCAGCACATCTACTACTCCCCACAGCCTGGTGTCATCTGCAGACTTGCTGGGATAGAGTGCATCCTCATCTTCTAGGTCAGAAGACACCGAGCAAAACCAGCCCCAGGACCAACCCACTTAATACCAGCTGCCAACTAGACAGACATCGAGCCACTGATTACTACTCTGAGCCTGATGCTCCAGCCAGTTTTCTAGCCACCTTACAGTCCATTCATCCAGTCCATACTTCCTTATCTTGCCTGGGAGAATGTATCAAAAGCCTTGCTAAAAATCAAGGTACACCAAATCCACCGGTCTTTCCACATTCACAGAGCCAGTCACCTCATCATAGAAGGCAGATCAGGTTGGTCAGGCATGACTTGCCCCTGGTGAATCCAAGTTGACTCTTCCTAATCACCGTTTCTCCTTTAAGTGCTTACACATAGATTCCTTGACGATCTGCTTCATGATTTTTCCAGGGACTGAGCTAAGTTTGACTGGTCTGTAGAGTTCCCTGGATCCTCCTTTTTCCCTTTCTTAGGTATGGGCACTATGTTTACCCTTTTCCAATTATCTGGGACCCGTCCTAATCGTCATGAGTTGTCAAAGATGATGGCCAATGGCTCTGCAATCACACCAGCCAACTCCCTAAGCACCCTTGCGTGCATCCCATCTGGCCCCAGGGACTTAGAAAAGCTGGATGTGTCCAAGAAGTCCCTAACCTGTTCTTTCACCACTGAGGCCACTCGCCTTCTCCCCAAACTGTGCTGCTTTATGCAGTAATCTGGGAGCTGCCCTTGCCTGTGAAGACAGAGACAAAAAAGGCATTGAGCACTTCAGCCTTTTCAGTATCCTCTGTCACGAAGTTGCCAACTTGGTTTTCTTCAGTTTGTACTGACACCTATTTTAAAAAATGGTGAGTTGCATTAGGCTACATTGTCTATTCCAAGAGTGGTAAAGTCCACAAGAATTTGAGGGAACTAGAATAACTGATGACACTGAAGGTGCACTGCTACCATTCTGATTTGGTAGCATCTCACTAAAAGAGATGTAAATAACTATACAAGTTACCAGGCAGGCAGGAGCTGGCCCTCAAGATTTTTAAACTCTTTTGGGGATATTTCATTCCAAAGTTATCTCTACATACCTAGGTGGTGGTTAGCTGCAACAGGTTTCAAACACTGAAAACTGTGAGAACTATAAAACAGAACAGAAACCATTCAACAGATGCACTTTTATTTGCAATGATTCTTTGCAACATAGAGTGTTATATATGTCCAGTAACCAGAAAATATACACCAACTGTCATACAAATCACTGCTAACTAGCGGAATTTGCCAATACAACTTTCACATAAATCAACCATCATCTTGTTGCATTTATTCAACATGGGCATCACACTGAGCAGGTTGGCAACGGTTCAGCTACCTTATCTTTGCAAAGATGCTACTGTTTATCATCTAAGCTTTCCTCATAGAAGTTTTTTGCCTTTTAACAATGGGACCCAAACATACACCCATTCAGTTAATGCCCAACTTTCTACAGAGTCTTAAGTAACAGCTCATAGCTAGGTGTAAAGAGGTCCTGTAATTTTAAGCAGAGTGAACATTAACTGCAGAGGTGACAACATTTAAAGCATCAAATCAGTAGTATAACTTAGGTGTGACACCAGAAGAAAAATAATGACTGTCACCACAACCACTGCTGCTCTAGGCACCCAGCTGCCCTGTTATGCCTCTAGTGTCAATACAGAGAAGAGGAATGGTCATGTTATAAAAGATCTACTTTGACTGGAGTTTCATTCTGGTATATCAAGAGGATGGAGTGTGGAGAATATCAGTACTTTTCTTCTTGGTATGACTCCTGTTTCTTAATGAAGTGTTCTAATCAAAACTGCTCTTTCTAAAGAAAAGAAAAGAAAAAAAATGATACTTACCCTTTAAAGTATCTTCAGTCTATTCCAGAAAATAATATCCTTCATAATTTGTTAAGAGCATTGAGTCAGACATAAAACAAACTTACCTTGTCTAGCAATGCATTCTGCCATAAGCGGAAGATACTGAGGTAGCTTCTGTCTCTAGCACTGAATGATGTGAAGAAAAACTATGGGGAGGGGACAGGGACAGGGGTGGAAAAAAAAAAAAAAAAAAAAAAAAAAGATGCAGCTTGATTTATTGAGTTTCTGCCTGAGGAAATGTACAGTTTCATCTAAAAATTAAACAGTGCTAGGATGTTTATGATGTGGCCTATTCCAATTAAAAACCCAATAAAACACCCTCTCAAAAACCTTGGCATTAATGATCACTTAAAAAATAGGAGCACAGGTTGTATGAAGTGCTAGCTTTCTGCTAGCTGCATAGGGGACAAAATATTTTGTTTTTGGTTATTCATTTCTTCATGTGTCACCAAAGATTTTGCATCAAAAGCTTAGCTGACTATTTTTATGATGCAAAATACATTCTATGTTTCCTTATCATAGGTGAGCAGACATAGCAATGCTGAACCAAATAAAATGCAATCCACACCCAGTTCAGTTACTTGGGCTGGCTGATGCGACTGCTACACAAAGAAGCAGGCCTGTGGAGTAAGTTTTTTTAAAGTTACATTTCTAATTATGGCTGCAGTTTAAGAATGCAACTGGAACAGGTAGGTACCTCAGCTAAAGGGGATGGACAAATGCTAATGAGTGGGGATCCCTCCCCCCTTTTTTACCTTCTCTCCTTTTGTTGCAATTTGGATGGCATTTGGAATGAGGCGAGCAGTCTTCTCTTTGGTCATAAAAGTAATATCTTTCAAGGCGATAGAAATCTGAGCAAAGATAAAATCAAAAAGGAAGATAGAAAAAAGAGAAAGAAAAGAAGGGAGAGAGAGAAGAAAGAAAGACAGCCATACCAAAAGTCATTAGATTCCAGAAAACCACTGAACACAAATCACCTATACACCCCCTTACAACAAAAAAGGAGTTCAACATCAAAAGCAACCCAAAATATTGGAATGAAGTAAAGGAGAGAATAGTGGCACCACGACCAGCTTGAAGCACAAGGACCCCTGTGCCTTGCAACTCATAGTCCAGCCTAGTTTCCTCAGGCAACTCAGCAGTGCCCACTTACCACCCACAGAGCAGAACTGGGTGATTCATGGCATGAACCCCACATCCACAGCTTAGGGCCCCACAACTGAATGCTAACCCTGACTGAAGAGGCAGGGGACAGACAAGATTAATCAAGCAATCTATAATTGCTTTATGGTAGTTAGCAGTCCAATATATGTCCATGCAGGAGCATTTGCCAGCTGGCATGGAGATCGTGCCCCCCTATCAGGCTGCATGTATGTGTCCTGCATGTTAAAAGCACAGCTGCTCTACCCAGTGGTCAGAAGGAAGGATGTTTCATGTCAGTCACTAGGTATGGCATGACTTCAACTAGACATAGTTCTCTGCATGGCTTATACACACATGGAGTCTGAGCTCTGGACATGGAAATTAAACTAGCAATACTCCATCGTGATCCGTAGAAGATATTTCAAAAGAAATGGCTAAATGTGTCTGCATGACAAACTTATTCTCAGGCAGAGGCACCTTCAAACATACTACAATGCTCTGCCCAAGCTGCCCCTAAATAAGCAGCAAAAGTAGCTGTGTTCACAGTGCCACAAACAGGCTAACTTGCCCAGTCACTCAGCACCACTATCTAGCATGCCTGTGACACTGCACAAGATGTGGCTATGCCTGCTTGTGGCTCAGGAAGTAGTCCACAAAGAGTAGCACAACACACTTGATGCCTGGCATAAAAGTTACCTGTCACGTGAGCATGTCCCATGTCAGATTCATCCCTGCTATAAATATAGCTCAATGCTGGAGTTACATCTTCCAGCTTGTTATTTTGAATTAAAATATAGAGCTGTAGAAATGTTTATGCATAAACGGGCTACTTGTCATTTTTCCTATATATAGGTGCTTCAAAGCACTATATAGCATCAACCAAAATATCTCAAAACTTCCATTGCAGACCATATTTTAATTTAGGTTTTTGCAATAGATCCACTCCCACTATGTCCCCCTCTCTATTCAAGCTGTGTAGCATCCTTGAGGCAATCACAGCCACTGCTTGTGTGGAAAGGTAGTATCGGGAAAGTGTTTCATTTATTTTTTAACTGCAATTTAAGATAAGTTTGTGGTTGGAAATAAAAGAGAAGCAGGCAGAAACACATGACCATCTAGACTTCCTCAGTTCACAAGAAAGCTGAAGACCAGTATTTCAGAAGCCTTTATTTTTGTGAAGATCAAGTCCTTTCTTCTGCAGGGAAACTATCCTTCTGGAGCAACAAGCCTGTATCCCAAGATCAGCTAACCAAAATCAGCAACAATGCAACAAGAAAAAAAGTGGCAAAACAAACCAGCTAAAAAAAGAACAGGGGGAAAGATGGGAACCTTTCCCATTACACCTACTGAAATACACTCATACTCTTTAAAATATATAGGGAAAACATAATCCACATGACGGCCTTTTTCTCGGAAGAGGAAGAAAGTTAAATGATTGTAAATGTGAATGAAAGAACAGCTCAAGGGGAAACATTTAAAGGATTAGATCAAATCAAGTAATCAAATGTAGTAAGAGAGGGTTTTCAGCAGACTGATTTTTAGCTAACAAATGTCTTTCCAGCTGCTGTTTAATTTTACCATGCAACAGAACTTTCTAAACTCCAGTCACGACAGCAGGCTGCCTTTTGCAGTTATAGTATCAGAGGACAATGCTCCATGAGACTCACTGATATGACCCCCAAAAGTCAGTGTATGGTTCCCCAGAAACCAAAAGAAATGAAGGATTAAGTGATCAAATACTCAAAAACACACAAAACAACTTACTGTGGTCTCCCATCGAAAAATATTGCTGTGAAAACAGAGCCAGTTTTCGGAGAGGTACAGGCGTCCCTGCAGTAAGATATCCTTTTGGAGGGCACAGGCATAATCTACATAAAGAAACCAGGAAGAGGTTATTCCCTTATTTCATGTCCACAGAACTAAATCATATTTTTATAATGCCATCTCTCTTTTAGAAATCAAATGAAACCTTGAGAAAACTTAAACTCTGATTGGGATATGCCCTGTTCACTGTATTCATTCAAATATATCCACTGGTTTGGGGATCAGGACACAAAAACAAAAGCAATCAGCATTCTATCTATTACTATTTTCCTATGGTGTTGAAGTAGGACTTGTGCCTTACCAGGTATGTTTATCAGTTCCCAGCTAATTTTTAAAGTAAAGCACTGTAAGTGTACACTGCAAGTCAAAGCTACGTATCATTATTTTAATGAAGCGGCACACTGCAGAGGCAATTCACAGTACCACAGATTATATATTCAACTGGTCGCATACACCATAACATACTGTGCTATACATTAAAGTAGTCATTTTCCACTCCAGAAATCACATCATTAGTATCTGTTAAGTAGGGAATTAATGTCCAACAGACAGCTTGAAACCATTTCTGTTCTTCAGAGTACATTTTCAAGCATTCAATCTTCATTATCAGTAAGAAGTGTCTACTGGTTGACATATCCTTACCAGGAATCCACTGCATTTAAATGGTTCATTAATGGGTTTCTTAACTAAAGCAAGAACTTTTTCCCCCCCCCCTCATTCCCTTTGGTGGCAAAGCTATGGTTGAAAGCTGCATAAAATTCATAATAGAAGCAGTGAGAGAATCTGTAATTTTCAGAAATCTCAGCATCAAACTAATTAACCCCATTAAAGTCAATAGTAAAATTCCTATTAGCAAAGAGGTAGTTAGCCACATTAGCCTAAAGTCAGGCAAAAGGCAGGGTACATTTGCACTTTATAAAATAACTAAATCAGATCTATATAGATAGATATATCTAGATATATACACACATACAATGCTGAGAAATAACATGCAAAGAGCAGCATATAAAATGGAGAGTTATTTGAAAACAGAAGGCAGGAAAGAAGATCCGCAATGCACTGTCCAGGGGAGTTAAAGTGGTCTGCCACAGGCATGTCTCTCTCTCTTATTAGCCCTATCTGGAGCAACGTTAGGTCAAACTTAAGCCCTTCTGAAAACCACACACTAAAAAGCAACTAATGATACAAGTAACAGGTTGGTTCTATTTTAGATGTGGGATGTTAGTGTTATCCGTTATTTGGATAATGTGCCACCCATCCCAAAACAAAGTGCATAAGACTGATAGAAACAGGGCTTTTAAAGGAAAATCATCAGATTGAAATGAAGCCCAAATTAATTTTTTGTACATGATAGATTTTTCCAAATGGAGGACCAATAAAATTGGTTTTCCCAAAAAACTTGGGGGTGGGGAGGAGTACAGAGAGCAGGGACAGAAGAAATAAAAGCGACCCTTACAACCCAAGCATGCAAAGAACTTGAAAGAGGAAATGCTAAGGAACAAAACCTGAAAAACCTCAAATTTTCTTTCAGTTGAAACAGGCAGCCTAAACAGCAAAAAATAAAATAAAATAGAAAAGGACAGAGACAACAGAAGTTTTCTAAGCTCCACTTTTTGACAGAGCAACTTTTAAACAGCGAGTCCAGACTTAAAAAAAAAAAAAAAAAAAAGTTGGAACAGCTTGTCTGCTGCTTTTCCACCAATCTTTGGAAAAAAACCCAGAATAGACTGACCCCCTAACATGGCTGGACCACCTCTCAATGCCTCTTTCCTGTCTCTTGGCACAAGCCATCCAGCTGTCACTAACTTCAGGTTTGCTGCTGTTATTAAACACCCTCTTCAGAGCCTGCAGAGAGAAAGGGCAAGTGAGCTTTCCCCTAGAGCAGTGGTTTTCAACCTTTTTTCTTGTGCAGACCCCTAAAAAAATATTAAGTGGAGGTGCAGACCCCGCTGAATTGTAAGTGTGGGTATTCACACATTTTTGATTAATCGCTCATCTTTTGCAGACCCCTTAAACAATCTGCAGCTCCCCAGGGGTCTGTGGACCACAGGTTGAAAACCACTGCCCTAGAGTGTCACATAAATGACAGTGAACCAAGTGATCCTCAGCAGAAAAGTGCAACTGACCTTACACAAAGGGATGTCAGAACACACAAGATAGGCAACTTGGACATTGCAAGAAAAAGGTCATCCCCATTTTAGAAGTCTGAAGGGTGAGAACACATAACTAAACTTGTTTCTTTTTTTTTTTTTTTTATCTTATCTGTCAGCGGCTCCCTGAAATTGGATGCGAGTGGTTGGGATCAGTGGAAGGGTCTGCTTGTATTGGGGCTGGGCAAATAGGTGGTGGTTGGGGTGTTGTTTAGGGAATCCATTTCTATGAGTTGTTTGCTCATTGTAAGCTGATCTGAGACTTTTTGATGCAACAGGAAATAAATCTAAATAAACAAACATAACTAAATAAATTGTGAGCAAGGTGCTGTGGCTCTGACACTAGAGGGTAGAAGTGAGCATTCAGTTCAGCATGCCTTGCAATGGGCAAGTTAGAAAGGGTATGCTTGCACCCACACTTTGCAAGTCGCACATAGTGCGTGACCTGTGGCGGGGGGGGGTTGGTTGGTTCTTTTTCCTTTCACTTTTCTGCTTTCCCTTCTCCCCTAAACATGAATTCAATAAATTTCTATAGCCTGCAAATGACCAAACAGTTCAGAGTGCTTATCTGATTTTGAAGAGGGGCAGGGAGGCATGCTTGGGCCTATGTTTTTGTATTCCATGGGCTGGCGGGCATAATAAGGGGGCACAGTTAAAGTAGGAAAGTAGGGAGTGAAGGAGTTCACAGTGAACTGCCTTAAAAACAAAACAAAAAAATGGACTTGATTTTTCAGGTACACTTTTCAACCCTTCCGGGAATTTTTAAACCAGTTTAAAAACAGGCTTGTATGTCTGTCTGTTTCAGAAATAAACAGAATTTAAAAACCAGGCTAAGTTGTGTATGAAAAAAGATACACTTTCAAAGTTGAGGGGAAGGGAGAAAATAATGGTGCCCCTTTGAATTAGATTCCTACACTGTGAGCAATTGTACTAACATATTGTATTCTAGACGAGGAACTGTTTATTTTGCATAATCTTTATCATTCTCATAAAATACACAACAGTAGCTATAAGAACAAATAAAAGACTAAGCAATAAACCAGTGATTCCCAACCAGGGTGCTGGGACACACTGGGGTGCTACCAGATCCTTTGAAGAGTGCCACAAGGTGCAAGAAGATGAGCAGATAAATACAGACTCAGGTTTGTCCCTGTCTGAGGGATGGATCCCCCCGTCCTCCACTACCCAGCCCTCTGCAAGGAGGTAAACACGGATATTTAAAAATTAGTTTTTTAAATTGGGTGCCACTCAATTCACAAAAGTTATGGAGGTATGTCTTGAGTACAGTGAGAGATGCTTCAAGTCCAAAGAAGGTTGAAAACCACTGCAATAAACAGCAGCAGTCACATTTGTATTGATAACCATGAGTAGGTAACTGCTATTTTAAGTATTTGTAGATGAATAAGCTATTACAAAGCCTGTGAAACTCCTCCACATCACTCAAAGGAACAATTCTACGCTTGGAGGTCCAAAAAGGTCCTTTTAAATAAATGCTGCTTCCATGGAGTAGAAAGTAATTACATACGGGACACGTCTACACAAGGCGTTTACTGCCAAGTTAGGCAAGTAGCTCCATTGAAGATTCAAATAAGCTGTCCTCATCCTTGCAGTACCATCTCTTCAGTTTGCTAGTGATCATCATTTCACTTCTATGTGGTATTGCCAGACTCTCCTCCACTACCACTTCACACACTCCAGTGTGACCATCTGTGGTATACATGGGAAATCGTCGTCTCAGAAGTAAACAGGAAAAGTCAAAGCTTATCGTGATCCACAGTTGTTTTAGGAAGTCGGTACCCAAGAAGGCATCTCGACTAGCATCCTTCAATACAGCTTGCATGTCCAGAATACAGAATAGACTCCCTCCAGAGGTGGTACAAATCACCTTCCCTGGGGATCTTCAAAAGACGACTGGACACACACCTTGCTGGGATCATTTGACCTGTCTTTCCTGCCTTAAGCAGGGGGGGGCTGGACCTGATGATCTGAGGTCTCTTCTAGCCCCTAACTTCTATGAATATGACACATGGCAGCTGCAGGTGTTGGAAGTTGATGGTTGCACTCCACTCCCCCAGAATTGGGAGCACCTCCCCTTTGACTGCCTTTACTAGGCTACAGAGTTGAAGGTCCCTTTCTGTTCCTGTTGTAACTTGTCCCAGACTTGGAAATGTACAAAGGATACCAGAGCACTTGAGTCTAGGAGAAATTAGAAAGGAACTTCTCTTAGCTTCTCCTCCAGATAGTGTCCCAACCCCTGAGGCATCAACAATTACCACCTCATCCTGTGGGCGTCCGAGTTTACCAGCAGTGGATGGGCCCCTCTCCACTGCCTGCTTTAGTTTCCTTGCCCAGAACACCACCTTCTTTCTGGGCATTCCCTCTGGAAATTGTCACAACCACCACAGTGCCAACATCTGTCAGCAACCCCCCAATGGGACCCCAGCCATCATGGTTTGTGGGGGGTCTCTACTGGCCCATCTACCTTGGGGCTGGGTTTCCATACTCTTGAGTTGATCCAGTTCACCCTGGATTTTCTTCATTGTTTCCATCATCATCTGTAAGATTGACAACTCTGGGCTTTGGGTGTATACTGCCTCTCTCCTCCTTGGCATGTATAGGTACTTAGTGCCCTCAGCTGTTTGCTGACTCCAACGCAGTGGCTAGCTTTACAGCCTCATCCAAGCTCTGGGGTTTTCCTAGCCAAAGCTGAGCCTGTGCCTCCCCACTAAAGGCACTGACAAAATGATTATGAGGCAGCACATCCTGTACTTCGGGGCTGGCTTGTGGGAAGGCCTTTACAGCTAGCTGTCTTAGAGCCAGGCCAAACTCTTGTGCCAACTCAACTGACATCCTCTTATGATTAAGAAAAGTGGTACTGGCTCAGCCAAGACCTG